TATAAAGTACATTTTTCTTAAAAGCAATAATTTTAAAGAAGATAAATTCTTAATAACTGCATAAGAGATTAAAAATCAGATGTGCCGGGTGCCATGGCACATGCCTGTAATCCCAGAGGCTTGGGAGGCTGGGACAGGAGGATCACAAGTTCAAAGCGAGCCTCAGCAACAGTGAGGTGCTAAGCAACTCAGTGAGACCCTATCTCTCTATGAAATACAAAATAGGGCTGAAGATGTGGCTCAGTGGTTGAGTATCTCTGAGTTCAATCTCGGTACCAAAAAAAAAAAAACAATCCGATTTATTATTTCTACCTAAAAGCACAATTTTGACTTGCCCCCAAAGAACTACAATCTAAGTGCAATGTGTAATCAACTTTTCTTCAGAAGCTATTTTTCCATTAACTTCCCATTTCAAGGCAGCATCAATAATTGTCACTTATTTTTCCTTATAGTTTCCCCTAGATTCCCTAAAACCGAGAGCAAACTATCTTTTTACGTTCTTCCCATATTCTGGAATTTACTTATGACTGCTTTTAAGGAGAGCAACATAAGTCATCATCTACTGTTGTTACTATTGAAATACTGAATATCCTTTAGTTATTGCCACATATTTGGAAGGGAGAGGGAATTGTTACATGGCACATGAGCCTGAAGCCTTTCACTTAAGATATTCCTTTCTAAGCACTAACCTCATCTTCCTAAATACCCATGGATATTATTTCTAAATTAYATAATTCCTGAATTGGCATGAAATAAAATTGATGGATTTATCAAAGTTATTGTGTTATTTCAGTTGTGTTTAAAAATAAGAGGATGGGTAGGGTGTGGTGGTGCACACCTATTATCGCAGCAACTCAGGTGTCTGAAGCAGGAGGACTTAGTAAGGCCCTAAGCAACTTAGTAACTAATACTGTCTCAAAAAAAAAAAAAATATATATATATATATATATATATATCAAAAGGGCTAGGGAAATAGCTCAGTGGCAAAGCACCCCTGAGTTAAATCCCTGCTGCCAAAAGGAAAAAAAATAAATAAATAAGAGGATGGGCTGAAGGTAAAGCTTACTGATAACTCTGTTTGATCCCCAGAACTACAAAGAGAGAGAAGGAGGTCGGGAGGAGATGGCCAAGTGGTGCAATACATTGGAATAAAGGAGRAGCTTTAACCTATATTAAAAATAAAATAACTATTGCCTCCTCCTTCATCTCTTACAGAAATGAGGTGATAGCAGCTATTTGTGGGAATAGAAAGSACAATGTTCTCGGTCCTTCCTGGAATGCCCTTTCTACCACACGTTACTGAGTCTGCTCATTGTTCACAGAGTTATTTAGTCCCACCACAATGACAGAAAAGTTAACAGGTCTTTATTTTTCACAAATCAGTCAAACCCTCTAGATTCTTATTCCTATACTTCTTTGATGCCAAGATTTTATTTTTTCTTAAAACTTCGACTCTAAGGTATCTGCTATAAAATATTTAAGTTCAGATTGTTCATTGTTTCTGGATATCTGTGTTTTAATTCATAGATGCATTTATTCATTCATTCCTGGGTCCTCATGCACAAAAGCTTTCTTGGCATGATATACCCATTTTAACTACATATCAGAGTGTCTTCACTTGCCACTTCTTTTGATGTAGCATTGCTATACATCCTGTAACAATGTTACATCGAAAGCAATAGAAAGCAGTAAACAGAACTAAGGAAAGGAGGGATCTGGCTGTCAGTGTAAATGTAAATAGCAGCTGTTCCACTCAAACTGTTTTTTTAAAACTACCACACGGTGAGAGCTTTGCATAAAATGGGACAGATTCTCAGGAATCAGGTTTTAGCACAAAATTCAAGAGGCATGCTGCCATCCTCCTGTTTTCACTGTTTATATATGTAATAGTCTATGTTAAAATATTATTTAAATATCTATTTCTGTGTGAATAATGCACTGTACAGCTATACTAGCATATATGATTTTAGTCTAAAGATAACATGACCAATGATGTTATTGTGTTGCAAGATACTTTTGAGTCCTAAAGTCCATGTGTACTTATCCTCTGGCCAAGTGCTGTACTAGCATTGGCTGATGAGTTAAACTTTGACATTTTTACTTACTAATTTGAAAGCTATCAAATAACTTCCCTTTGTCATTTATCTAGCAAAAGTGAACAGCCTATGTGGCATTGCAATGTCCTAAAAAAAAAAAAAATCCTTGTGCCATTGCTTTCGCCAAATACACATTCATTTTCTTTCCTAATTAGTTAGAGTGATAAACTGTGCTGGTAATAAACACTTTAAATATATGGCTTATACAGCTTTACCCAAAACTGTCATCCTCCATTAAATYAGCAACACTTATGCTAATTAACATAGAAATCCTTTCTATTTAGTTATGTCATCTTTCTATTTAAAATGGAGGGGGAAAACCAATGTTTTCTACCACATGAATATAAATATCTCAACTGAAGACCTGCCATTGCTCATTTGAAATTATGTGTTGTGGGACTTTTTCAACTAGTTCATAAAACATTATCTGTACTAATATGTTTACTTTGTTGTGGCATTTTTATATCAAATTACACTCTTTTTCAAAGGCCTAGAATAGGGCCTTTCACATTGTGGGAATGAAAGAAATGGTTACAGCATGAATGAGTTAGTGAGAAAAATCAATAGCAACATTAGTRTCTGATGATAACAAATAAAAATTAGACTTACTTGCACAAATGCAGCAGTTAATTTTGATGTGTGGTTAATATTTGTGCACATTGAAAATTCAAATCAGGATGCTAACTAATATCTGCATGTTAGTCACAGCAGGCTATCTCATTGTCTCAATGTTCTTTTCTGACAAATATACAAAGACCATGACCCTGCCAGTTCTTAGTTGGTCATTAGGCATAAATCATAAAACAGAGCTGGGGGTGTCCCTGAGTGTTAGAGTACTTGCCTAACATGTTCAAGGCCCTGGGTTTGATCCCCAGCACCACACATACACATGTATGACCCTGCCATGCACACATACAAATCATACCAACAAATTACTACTAAAGAGTTCTTTGTCTCTTTCTTCCATTTTCTTAGTAGATGTCAGGAAACTCTTTTGAGATAAACATTTTTATAGAAAAGACTAAAAGCAAATATTGAACCCCACTTAATGATACTCATGCAAAGTTTTTAGGAAGTTGCATATTGAGATTAATAATTTTCTCTGAAATGTACAAATTTTGATATAGATTAATGATATATGGAGATATAGAAACATGACTAGATATGTGATAAAGCAAATTTTGTGTAATGTTCAGGATAAGCATATCAGTATTCATTGTACAACTTTTAACTTTGCTATATATTTGATTTTTCATAATAAAATGTTTGGTAAAAGTTATTACATTTTGTTCTTATGAGTTTTAATTGTGACCAGGTATGGGGGCATATGCCTTTAATCTCAGCAGCTCTGGAAGCTGAGGCAGATCATGAATTCAKCCAGTCTTAGCAACTTATTGAGATAGCAACTTATTGGAGACATCCAAATAAAAAATAAAAAAGACTGGGGTTGCGGATCAGTGGTTAAGTATATCTGGGTTCAATCTTTGGTACCAAAAAAAAAAATAGATTTTTAGTTGTAAAAAAGCTAAGAATAATTCAAGAAAACTTGAATAATTTTAAGGGAAATTTACTCTCAGCATTATATTTTCTCTGCASTGTACCATCCTATCATATATCCCAATTTTCTACAATTGTTAATTTTTGTTGTAAAGAATAATATCTATTTGAATTCATCACTTTTTAGAGTGTTACTTTAGCCAGTCATCAAAACAAGCTTCATGATTTTTTTCAAGTCTGATTAGTTTTTATTTCTTTGTGGAAAAATTTGATTAACTATGTGGTTGTTGGACTACCTCCYCATGAACACCACCTGTTTCTCATTTGATGTCTCATAGATCACTTTAAAATATATTTGGTATTTATATGTCATGTCTTATATATGATATCACTATAATATTAATAAATATGCCTAAAATACAGATAATGTTYTTATAGATATAATAAAAATTATCACATGCCATTCAGACTGGGTTTTTGTTGTTATCGCTACTATTATTACTGTGACTTTGTCCTCCCATTATTCCTGCTTAGAGTTGTGCCTTGACCAAAGTTGATGCTTAGGGTATATATGAAAGCTTGATAATTATTATCACTATTTTTTGTGGAGTGAGGAGTGAACTCAGAGCCTTATCTGTTCTAAAATTGAGCTACAAACCCAGCTCAAGCTTGATTTCTTAAAATAAGTTTTATTTGTTAGATAAGATTTGAGTTGAGTGAACTTTAAAACCAATAATTGTTCTCCAGATTGACTCAATCTTACTTTTCTGGTAAAATATTTTTATCCTATCTCTTAAAAATTTACTTGKGCTTCATATTTTGTTCAAAAAAAAGTTATTTATGATTTTATTRTACCTAAAATTGTACATAGTGCTATAGTATATTGAGGTCTGGTAATGCTAGTTCTATATTCACAGAATATACTATCTTTATTTATAATATTACAATGTAATATTATAAAATTGATATAGTTCATATCCTTTGTTCTCCAACKTGTTTTAATTACTTTGAAAAGTTATTTGGAATCGTTGCTCAATATGTGTAGAAAATAGCATTATATGCACAAGGAGTTTTTTTTTTCCTTCTGGGAATTAATGTGGAGAATTTTAGATACCAATCTGTCTAATAATCCACAATATGAGAGGAATACAAACTCTTGAATTGTGTTTTGTTTTTTCCTCTCAGTTCTCCACATAGCCCTAGTTAGTAAGTTCTGTCTCTGTTCCTCAGTTTCTCCTCATTCTTCCTCACTTACCCCCRTAAGTCTTTTCTCTTGGATTGTTTAGAATGAATAGGAAAAATGATCCATCTGAYCACCACCAGGAGTGGAACTTGAGGTACATGTAAAGTATTACTGTTAGGAAGTTGGATATTGGTAAGAAACTGACTCATGTCATCTGCCAACAGGGGAGGCTTTGCACTTGGCTCGGGATTTTGGCTACACATGTGAAACAGAGTTTCCAGCCAAGGCAGTGGGAGAACACCTTGCCAGACAACATATGGAACAGAAGGAACAGACAGCAAGAAAAAAGATGATCCTAGCGACCAAGTAAGCACCCTGAGGAAGCCTCTATGGACCTTTATCCTCAGTTTTTCCATTTTCTTTGAAATGAGGGAAACAGTCTAGAAAGCTCCATCTCTCTAAAACAAGAGGATCTCACACTCCAGCAGCTAAATATATTAAACAAGAACACATACTCATCTGTGATCCAGGCAAGGTCACCTTACTGCCCTTGGTTAGAGACAGGGTTATCAATGAAACTGATGGAAGTTTGTAGAAAACCTCTTTAGAATGCACAGGAATTCTGAGGAAAATATGAGTAGAAAATGTAGATTCCAGGCAAATATGCCTTTGGTTGTTATGTAATTGGGTCTAAGGTACTTGTGCCTTTATAAATGAAGATAGAAATATTAAAACATGATAAATGTTTGGGGAATATGATGAAAGATGACACAGATGCAATAAGGGGTTAAGGGTAGATCTCTTGGACCAAGGATCAACATCAGTACCCCATTTTCTCTAATAAACAATGAAGGATATTACTCCTAAACTGTCTTGCTTCCCATGATATTATTTAAACAGTGGTCATAAGGTATGTGAAAAATTCTGAAAATTATGAAAAGTCCAACTAAAATGCAAATTACAACAATGAAGGAAATAATACTGGCAAATGTATCAATACAATAGGAAAAGGAAGCTCCTATGACTTCTAAATTCCCTCAAACTTGAAAGTTCTTTGATAATTTGTGGGAAAACTGCTATTAACTTGTGAAAACYCAACAAAACTGTAAGTACCAATGGAAGTCATAATCAAAGATTCTAGAGAGAAATGCTTCAGGTGAGAACTCATTCTTGCTATCTTCTCTGTATTAAAATAAGTTATTGCTAAATTTAAGGCATTAATAATCTTAGAGTATTTCCTAATCTATCTTTAGATTGTAGAAGTGATAGTTCCACATGATTCTGTCATCATTTATACATTATGTGTGGCAAGTTCTTTAAGAGAAAAATGTAAGATAGATAGGATTAAAAGCATTATTTCTTAGAATCTGATGTCAAAATAATCATCCAACAACTTTAAAACATGCTAACTAAATTTTACACTAGCTAAAATGTATGAAGCCAATACAAAATATTCCCTCTTTCACCAGCTTCTAATATAACACAGGTCTTTTTTGTTTTTGTTTTTTCTTCAATTTTTAAAAATTATTTTATTAGTTGCTCAAAACATTACAATGATCTTGACATATCATACATTTGATTCAAATGGGGTACGTAATCTTAATTTTTCCACGTGTGCAGATCGCAGGATCACATTGGTTATACAGCCACGTTTATACATAGGGCCATACTAGTGTCTGTTGTATTCTAACACAGGTCTTTTTGTGAATTTAAGAGGTTACATGGGACATCTATTATATAGACTTGCCAGAGACACTTGAGTCCCTTACATTGTGCACTGCTTATGACTTCTACTGTTTGTGTTTWGGCTTATATTATGCATTGCTCTTCTAAGAGTTCTAGATAATTGTTGCATCTTGTCTCAGAGAGAAGGAAATAAAAGGCAGTAGCAAAAGGAGAAAAGTCAAAGTGAGATGAAGCGGAAAGGAACAGCAAAAAGAGAGCATGAAGACCAAGAAATAGAGAAAAAAAATGTAAAAGGAAAGTATAAAATTTGAACTTAAAATTTGTGGATAAATATTGTGCTATGCAAACATATGAAATCCTGCTAGGGGGAAGACCTAAATCTGGAATTTTTGCATAGTTTAGTTTTCTTGGAGCTCTTTGCTTCTACTTTTCTTGAACTCTTTTCTTCTTTCAAATAGTTTCTTGCTTCAGTAGAACTCCATCTGTCATGTTTCGTTTTTTCCAGAAGGAATTGAAAATACATGTAGTTGCTTAGTTTGAATAATTAATGAATATTGGGGAAAAAAGGTAAATATTTGTTACAGATCCAGAGAATTATATAGTATTAAATGTTAGGTAGTAACTCCAGGTGTTACTAAAGCATAATGTCATTCTAGCTGGCAGCATCAGGCAGAGTTCCTTTATACAAACCCCTATAACATTGACTGATACTGTTATCCCCAAAAACAAATTATCCAGGGAAAAAACATGTTGGATGTTTTCTAACTTGAAATTTCCTGGTAGTGGATTCACCAACCATATTCTAAGACTCACCAATCCAAAGATACTCTTCTTCATGTCCTCCTTCCCCAGGAACAACTTCCCCCAGTTCTGTGAATACTCATGTCTATCACCTCAACATTCTAAAACACAAGTTCCTATTTTCACAGGTGTTCCCTTTAGTCTGCTGAAGTGTTTTGGAATCTCTGGGTACATCCAAATTGATGAGATCTTGTTTTCATAGAAAACATAATTACTTTCAGATTTGTCAAAATAATACTGAGACATCTGTTTTAGTGTAATGGATTCCACCAGGCAGAAAAATTTTTCCTTTAGCCTGGAATGTAAGCAATCTATATTATTTAGGTTACTATTTTTTAACTTTGATTTCAAAAACCATTTGGAGAAAATATAATTGTCTTTGACTCCTCTGTACATAGTTAGACATTTGCATTTATATTATTTTGGTTCCTCTTTACATAGTTAGACATTTGCAGATCCTTAAATGTCAAGCAAGAATTGAGATCATGGTTCCAATTAAGTTAATTTACAGATGAACAAATAGGTCCTAATCTTCTAAAAATTAAGATACAATCTTCATAATTTTTTTGTCATTTTGGTATTAATGTGTATCCCATCTTATTGGTCAAAATCAAATAAAAATTAAAGTCAAAAACTACGTAGTCATTGCTAATACCATAAAACCAGTTACCAATATAAGTAGATAAAATATTATGGGACTAAAATGACCTTTTTTGCAACATATGAACAGACCCAACATGTGTTTCCAGCAGTTCTAATTTTCTATCAATGGCAAAAGCATTGGGTATTTTTATGAATTAAGTGTAAAAATTGGCATTAAGTGTCCTACATAGATATTCATTTAATTCTAGTCAGCCCACCTTTGTTCATAAGACTTCCACAAACCTAGTGGTTAGTGTACAGCACTGTTTAACTTGTGTGAAGCCCTGGGTGTAATCCCCAGCACCAAAAAAGACTTCATCAAAAGTATATATGAAATCCAAAATGCACTGGATGAGAAATCTAATTGCTGATCTTCATTTATTTCTTACCTCAGTGAATAAAAATAAAACATTCAGTTTTAATAAGAAAAATATAAATGAATTATTTTATTTAATCAAGTATACAATCATATGAAGTATATAATMATATAAAGGGCCATTAAGTGCCATTAGTTTTTTGATATCTTTTTTATTCTAGAGTTTTATTGATTAACCAAATATTTTTGTATAATTTAAACAATTACATAAGTAGAAAAATAGAAATGTAGTAGGGGAAATATTTGTTTATTTGGTCAATAGAAAACACATGTAAACCTTTTCATTGAATTTAGGAATAAATATGTTTAAAATTTGACCTATATTAAGCAAAGCAGAAGTTAATAATTATAAATTGTTACCATAATAGTAATTTTTAATAGGAGAAGTATGGAATTTTGAATCCAGAAATCAGCTAAAAACATTACTTCCTTCAGGACAATGACGTAAGTGACAAATTTAGAATGTATGATTCACCAAAGATCATCTTGTGTTACATGATTCATAATATGACATTTTGTTCTGAGGCATAAGAATATTTCCTATTGTAGCTGCATAAATAAAAATGTAAATGAGAATGAAGCTAGTCATAAAATTAATAATTCTATAACTGTCATAATGAGATGACGGTGACAATTGACTAGGGGAATTTTTTTTTTTTTTTTTACTATGGGGAATTTGTATGATTGTTTCTGTACTTAAGTCTAGAAGTCATCCTAAGTCCATCCTTTAAGCAATAAAATTAAATATCAAAGGTTGTGAATTTTAGGGCTGCAGATATAGCTCAGTTGATAGAGTGCTTGCCTCACATGCACAAGGCCCTGGGTTCAATCTGCTCCCACCCCCCACACACAAAAAGCTGTGAATTCTAGTACTGTGCCTGTTAGAGCTTCATGTGTGGTGCAATTGAATTATTCAGCATGAGTTAAATAATTCCACACTTTTCCTTTTCCTTAGTGCTTCATCAGTGTTATTATGGTTTGCTGTGTAGCTTGTCAAAGTTGATTTGACAGTCTATAAATTAGTTTATTCAAGTACCATACCACAAAAGCTAAAGCAATGTTTTGATCTTTAATGTTTTAAAAATTTATTTCAATCTGAGAGAAAATTAAAAGACTGGTCTTAGCTCCAATCTTTCTTTCTAACAACAAATCATAATGATGGGCTATTATACAAGAATTCATATTGCTAGTCATAAAAATGATAGCATGAGGCTATATTAAAATTATACTTAGAAATTTCCTTGAAAGAACAATTACAGTGTATCTAATTCTTAAATAACACAAAATGCAGATGACAATGCCCCCACAAAATAGCGTCAAATACTTAGGTACTTCAGCAGAAGTACCCTTCTTCATTCAGTTATTAAAACATATTAAAACACACCTGAAAATTAGCCCAGCTGAGTTTCACCTGGAACAGAGGAATTCAGAGCTAATATTCTCAATGAAAGTAGACACAAGTTAAAAGCATGCATTTAGGAGCCGAATCTCAGAGTCTCTTCCAAAACATTACTGGAGGATATGGAGGGTTGTATTTTATTCAAGATGATAGGGACTAGGGCTGGGGATGTGGCTCAGGCGGTAGCACGCTTGCCTGGCATGCATGCRGCCCAGGTTCGATCCTCAGCACCACATACCAACAAAGATGTTGTGTCCGCCGAGAACTAGAAAATAAATATTAAAAATTCTCTCTCTCTCTCTCTCTCTCTCTCTCTCTCTCTCTCTCTCTCTCTCTCTCTTCTCTCACTCTCTCTTTAAAAAAAAAGATGATAGGGACTATATTTTTTGTATTGTCTTTTACTTCTAACTATCTTTTACTTCCATCTGTGTTTTGTAAAAATGAATAGGGTAAGTTCTGTGAAATGGCACAATATCTGAGCAGTGTCAGTAAACCAGAGGCACATTGTTCACAGAAAAATATCACAAATGATCTCTGGCAGAATTCAATAACTTTTAGATATCTATAATAAATAAGTCTCCATTGATTAAACTCCATCATAAATTATTTGTACTTCAAGGTAGTTGGTCATTTTTAGTAGTCATTTTGTTAATGGCACAAAGGCTTATTAGCAAGATTGTGGCTGTGCCTGTATTCACCTGGGACAATTTGACCCTTCTGTACTTTTTGATAATTAAAGTCAAGGCCACATTATTATATTTTACAATGAACCACTGCAAAAACTGACCAAAAAAGGGAAAAAAAATCACTATGATACATCTCAAATGTGGAGTGGACTTACCATAGATAATAGATGTTTTTGAGTAATCCCTTGACAGTCCTTAAATTCACTCTCTAGCTGCTGCATTAATTTGGTGTTTTATTGTTTTTAAAAATCTTGTTTCTTCTGTATATTCTGTTTCTTTATAATTATGCCATTAGGATTATATGTCACAAGGACTTTACTATTATCCAACATACTCAGCAATACTATTAGCTAAAGTAAAACTAGTGACCAGAAATCAAAATTATTAAAAGCAAAAAAAGCAGCTGAATAATGTCCTACAGTGTACATTTTGCAAAAAAAAAAAAATCAGGTTACACAAAGTATAGTATTATTATATTTTTGAAGGTAGTGGACTAAACTCTAGCTAATAGATTATCTACTTCAAGTATTAAAAWATGAAATTAATCCACAAGAGTCTGAATTATAATGCAATACTGGGAAAAAGGATTTTCCAAAGTCTACTTGAATTATGGCTGTGAATGAAGGCTATAACCTTAATTAAATTTGTTTACACATATGATGTCCTAAAAAAAACCACATTTTAATATTTTAAAGGGCAATTATTAGATGTGATCCTTTCTTATGAATTGTCTTTCATCCTGATATTAATCTATCAATATTCACTTTAAAAATTAACATTGGTTTGTCAGTACCTAGGGACTGTTATTTGGTTGATATCTTTTATGACCGTGTTTTGAGAGGCTGAGGCAGGAGGATGACAAGATTGAAGCCAACCTCAACAACTTAGGGAGGCCCTAAACAACTTAGCAAGACTGTCTCAGAATAAAAGAAAATGAAAAGGGTTAGGGATGTAGTTCAGTGGTGAACCATCCCTGGAATCAATCCTCAGTTTAAAAAGAAAAGAAAAGAAGGCAAAAAGAAATATTTTGTGGTCATTACAAAGTCACTATTAATAACCTCAGCTGTATGCTGTGGATGGAACATCAGAGATTGCTATATGAAATTTTTCTTGTCCTTTTTTAAAAATGGAATAACATTTGGTAAAATATGAATGAAATTAAAGCCCCATTTTAAGAGTTCAGTTCAATTTTGTATCTTTTGTTTTAGACAAATTTGTAAAGAATTTCAAGATCTCCTGAGCCAAGATCGATCACCACTGGGATCCTCTCGACCCACTCCAATTTTAGACCTTGACATCCAGAGACACTTAACACATTTCAGGTAAGATGGGTTTTCCCATTTGCTCAATTGCCTTTGAAGTTGTTAAACCATCTTCACTAACCCAGAACTTTGCATTCCTTCCACACTTCCATTTAGAGATATGACTTACACATTAAAAAAAAAAATGGTGACTCTCCTCTAGTCTGTTCTGGCTGCTATGACAAAATATCTTGGCCTGGATAATTTACAAGTGAGTCATTTACTGCTCACAGTTCTGGGGGGCTAGGAAGTCCAAGGTCGGGTGCCCCCAGATTCAGTATCTGGTGAGAGCTCACCCTCTGTTCAGAGGTGACACCTTTAATGAAAGGGACAGATAAGGTCCCTTGGGGCTTTTTTTTTTTTATAAAGGTACTAATCCCATCCCCATGACCTAAGCACATCCTAAATACCCCACCTCTCATGACTATTGCACTGGGGATCAAGTTCCAACATACGAATTTTGGGGAAGGGCACAAACATTCAGACCATAGCAGGAACTGAATTTTTGAAAATTCCAAGTATTTAAGATAAAATTGAAAAACAACTAGTGCATGAAGCATTTTAGATCAGAAATTTTAGTGTATTTGTGTTCTTATCAGGAAATTGTGATTTTATGAGTGAACACTATTCTTTTAAGTAATACTGAGTAGTTTGGGATCAGGATTCTGAAACCTTTTAAATAATTCCTTATTCTGGTGAAGCAAATTCTTGAATGAACAGAAGATCTGACCCAAGTAAATGGGATATCCTTGCCTGATTTCCCAGGAGTATGTTAATAAATTCTACCTTCATTAGACCATACAGAAACCTGAAATGTATTATTTTTATACATTTTTTAGTTGTAGATACACACAATTCCTTCCTTCCTTCCTTCCTTCCTTCCTTCCTTCCTTCCTTCCTTCCTTCCTTCCTTCCTTCCTTCCTTCCTTCCTTCCTTCCTTCCTTCCTTCCTTCTTTCTTTCTTTCTTTCTTTCTTTCTTTCTTTCTTTCTTTCTTTCTTTCTTCTTTCTTTCTTTCTTTCCATGTGGTGCTGAGGCTCAAACCCAGTGCCTCCTACATGCGAGACAAGCCCTCTACCACTGAGCCCCAGCCCCTGAAATGCATTATTACAAGCACATTTTAAGTCTCATTTTCCAAAACAATTTAAAAAACCAATAGAATAATTTTTTTTTCTGGTAAATTTACACCCTAACTGCAGTATCAGAAAGAAGATAGCAGTTATTCGCTTGTCTCCAGAATTTTTTTTTTTTTTTTTTTGTACTGGGGATTGAACGCAGCTGTTGCTATAACGCTGAGAACTTTGAGCCCTTTTAAAATGTTTGTTGTTGTTATTTTGAGACAATGTCTTAGTAAGTTGCCTAGGATGGCTTTGAACTTATAATCCTTCTGCCTCAGCCTCCCAAGTTACTGGGATTCCAGTGTGTACCACCTTGCCTGGCACCTTACAATTTTTAAACTAGCATTCTAATGCCTACATGTCTTTAGTATCAAATATTTTGTTATTATTTAGTTATCATTTGATAGTAAAAAAAAACAATGCTAAGAAAAGACTGGCATACATTAAAATTTAAAAATGCTTTCACTGTCTGACAAAATTTTATAGCTATTGAGCAAGGAATTCCATTATATGAAGTAATGGATGTTTAAATAAGTTGGAATTTAGTTTGCAAAATCAGAGATGTTTAAATAGAATATTTATTTTCCATTGTGTCACACATCTCCTCAAGAGATGTAATATATCTTCAAAAAATGTACCAAAGGTAGGATATATTTCATAGAACTTTTTCTGTGGCTCATTTGAGATAGTAAAGGCAAATGTAAAATTGTAATAATATTGGGAACAAAAGGTTTTGAAGTCAAGAGAACCATTTTCAAATCCAGGCCTTTTGGCCTGTGCACTATAATGTTTGGAGTGTCTTAGCAGTCTCTGAAGCCTTTATTTCCCTAGCTTGAAAATGGCATAATAACCCCTTCATCACATACTGGTAGTGATCTAAAATGAGATAAAGAATGTAAGGTAAGCATTTAATAAATGATGTATCATTTTCCTTCCCCACTGATTCAAGTTCAAAAGGTATCAACTCCACTGGCATAGCCACAAAAATATTTACCATATTTTTGTATCCACACTAAAAGTACTTGTAATTTTGACTGAAGTGGCTTTAAAATTTAAAGTCTTTTAAGTTACCCAGTTTACTTTGAAGAGGAATTTACTGTTGAAATGCAGAGGATTAGGACTCATAGATGCTGAAGATTTCATTGGGAAATGAGCTGTCCTTTTCTGGCTCAAAACAAAATAGAGCTTCAACATGTAAATTGGACATAAGCTACTGTGTGAAACAGGCAAACAATTCACTTGCTTAGCACAGGTACAACCTGCTAATTTGTCGATACATTAGTTAATTGCCAACTTAATGTCACAGAACTCTTTAGAGAAAATTTTCACTTCTAAATATGAAGCGCACATTTCCTACCAGGGCATTATAAGCTCTTTACTTTCTCAAACAAAATATGGTAACAAGTTGGTAAATATATAGTCAAAATGGGAGGGAAACTATATTCGATATATAAAATATATATAAAATATATATATTCGATATATAAAATTCTCAATATTATATATGGCTAGAGATTCCCAATCACAATTTGAAATATAAAACTGTTTCTTTAAATGTTCTAATACTACATTGTATATTAACTTACAACAAATTATAATAGTAATTAATACAAAGAATAATTAATTGTAATTTTCCAGTAGTAGTTATAAAATTTTGATACTTACATGGTGAACACTTTGAATATCAGAAAGTTACAATTTCCCATTTATTATGCTTTTTAAATGTTTACCAGAATTTCTAGATTCTTTTTCTTTACACTCTAGATTATTTATTTAAATGAAATCTGAAATCATGATGGAAGGTAGGAGGATTCTAGAAATCACTTAGCCAATATTTATCTCATAGCAAATTTCCTAAACTACATCTTCTCCTAAATTATAATTTWAAAATACACTTAATGTAAAATTTGCCATCTTAATCATTTCCAAGTGTACAATTCAGCATATTTGCATTGTTGTACAATCTCCAGTAGATCTTCATTTGCAAAACTGAAACTTTATACTCACTGAACAWTCAATCACTTTCCATTTCCCTCTCTTCTTAACCCCTGGGAACTACCATTCTTTCCATTTCTATGGATTTGATTACTCAAAATATCTCATACAAGTAGAATCATATGATATTTGTCTTTTTGTGACTAGTTTCTTTAATGAAGCATCATTTCTTTAAGGTTCCTCCATATTGTAGCATGTGTCCAAATTTCCTTCCTTGTAAGGCTACCTAATATTCTGTTACACACACACACACACACACACACACACACACACACACATAACATCTACTTTATTCTTTCATTCGTTGATGGAAACCACATGTAATTCTGTTTTTTTCCTTTTTTGAGGAACTGCCATGCTGTTTTTTTGAAACAGCTGCATCATTTTACATTCCCAATAGTGTGCAAGGGTTCCCATTTCTCCACATCTTCACCAACGCTTGCTATGTACTTTTTTAAAATAGTAGCCATCTTAATAGATGGTATTTCATTGTGGTTTCAATTTGCATTTCCCTAATATTAGTAATTATGAATACCTTTCATAAAACTACTAGTAATTTTTACATCATCCTTGGGGAAATACCTATTCAAATTCTTTGCCTATTTTTAAATAGGGTTATTTGGTTTTATGTTGTTGAATTGTAGGCATTCTCTACATATTCTGGATATTTTTCCTTTATCAGACAAATAATCTGAAAACATTTTTCCCTTGCATAGATTGTCTTTTTAATATGCTAATTGTGTCTTTGGATGCAGTTTCCAATTTTGATACAATCTAATTTATATATTTTTCTTTTATTGCCTGTGCTTTTGGTGTCACAGCCTGGAAATTATATATATATATATTGTTGATGGACCTTTATTGTATTTATTTGTATTTAGTGCTGCAATCATTGAACCCAGTGCCTCACACATGCTAGGCAAGCACTCTGCCACTGAGCCACAACCCTAGCMMTTAGCCAGGAAATTCTTAACCAATGCAATGTCTTAAAGATTTCCCCTATGTTTTCTTCTAAGAGTTTTATAGTTTTTAAGTCTTACAGTTAGGTTTTTGATCTATTTTGAATAAATTTTTATATGTGATAAAGTAAGAATCCAACTTTATTCTTTTGTATGTCTTAAATAATATCCTTTTAAAAAAAGATTTATAGTTGACATTTCCAATTGAAATCTGAAATGGAAACTGATCCAGTTTTAATTGAATTTAAGTACTACATTTTTTTTTTCTGTGCATTCATTAAAAGGGACAACAATAAATAACAAGAGGTTAGTAAGTCAGTTTATTGCCTGGTCTTGAAACAGACTCTGTACTTCAAAAGTGTAATTTTTAAACTTGGTCCTCACAGCAAAATACTTCTTGGAGCTCTTTAAAATTCTGAAGGACCAGAGTACATATCTGGTACAATAGGACTAAGATGGAACTTGAACATCTAATGTTATTTTCAAACTCTGAATTGTTTCTTATAGTTAAGCAGACTTACGAACTAAGGTCTTAAGGTATTCCTAAACTATTTGCATTTTTTTTCTTTTTAAGAAATGTAATTATAATTCATTTTTAAGGAGACACTGAAGATTTTGTAAAGCTCTGTCTTATACATTAAAGTATTTAAAAGATTCTATATCTATGATTCTGCTAATAATCTGGTTAAAAGTGTTTTTACATCGAGTGTGACTCTTTTAGAGTTTTCTGTTGACAGTGGTAGATGTAATTTGATAGAACCATAAGCTCACACACAAAAAAAGATTAATTAGAAAGGAAGAGTAGCTCATGTGACTTTGAAAGCAGGCTATTGGCAGAGTCTGATTTTCTACTATTTTTGCTGAATGTTGGCTGGAAAAGAAGTGAAGAGGAAATACGAATAGATAGGCATGGGGGATTCTCTAATTAGTAATACCAACTTGGGTTGCTG